CTCTCTGTGTGTATATGTGTATATATATATATATATATATATATATATATATATATATAACAAAAAGTAATACAAATAGCATGTTTCTACCAGACATTGCGGCTCAGCTCCGGATTTGGGCGCAGTCTCATCCATCACACAAGCCATGCCTAAATAGCATACACATGCTGAATTTAGTTATCCTTCTTGACCACGTACCATGCGAGCTGATACAGGATGTACAGGAAATGCTAAAAATATGCCAACCAAAAAGTCCACAATCACAGTTATCACAGAAACATCCTGATTAATGTCCCTGGACCAGAATTGCCTTCAGTAGTGTAGTGACCAAAGTTTCTTTCTCTTTTCAGAAGTCCTGTTTTCCAGTGACCTCTATTGCTTCAGATTTTTTAATTTACTTCCTCAGAGTAATTTTCTTATTGTTATTCATCTTGAGTTTATATTTCTTTCCTGAGAAATCCACTATCTCCTAATTAGAACAAGTCTCAAATGGTTTCCCAGGCCCTGCCTAGTCCCCTGTTGTATAGCACAGAGCAACATTTAAGATTTAGCCACACATAATGACTCCTTGTTATTTTTTTGTTTAATATTTTAGTTTTTTTTAACATGATCTGGTAAAGGTTTGCAAAATCACTGTCTCATGCTTACACTGAATAACTTAGAATCGCAGCAGTTTTTGAAATCAAATAACCTCCACCCTTTCAGTTAACTAATGTGACAGTCTCTTGTTTTTTTTTTTTTGTTTTGTTTTTTTTTTCATGTAAAATTTAGTAGTTGGATAGCAGAAAATCTACTACTTAAAAAAAAAAAAAAAAAGTCATTATAGCAGGAATCCAGATATGTGGAGACAGAATATGTGGATTTGGGTGTACTTGATTTACTTGGCCTTCTTTTGTATATTGCCTTGCATATTACCTTGCACTAAAGTCAGGTTGAGATTTTAAAAGAATGTGGTAAACAACTTACAGTCTTACTGTCTTAAAAGAATGTGGTAAATCGTCTGCCATTGTAACTTTTATCCAGTCTGAGTTTCTGATTCTCTCTTCAGATTAATTTCCCAGAAATGATACATACACACAAGGCTGAAGTTTACTGTTATAAGTTTACTGTCATCAGAATGTTTATCTTCTACGTACACTGTGATTAAATTGGACAACATTTGGCGATGACCTGACAGCATTGTGTGTGTGTGTGTGTGTGTGTGTGTGTGTGTGTGTGTGTGTGTATATATATAGTTACAGTCTGCAGCAGCGAAGTTTTAAGACACTGGACTTCTACAGGAAACATGAAGATCTAATTACTCCTGCTGGACTGGCTTTCTTTCAGAGCCAGTGGGACAACTCTGTCACCAGTACTTTCCACACATTGTTCAGTAAGGGTTTTTTTTTTTAAACTACACGCACATTAGCCTACATGCACAGTGTTTATGTAACCAACTCTCTGCTATTTTTCAAGGAAATGGACTTCTTATCAGGAAATGGTCACATTTTTTCATGGGTAAATTAGTTTAAAAAGGTTTCATGTTGTCCTGAACATGATGTCTGAAAACATAATGTGCTAACCAACATGTTCTGAATCTTTTTGGGCTACCACATTTCAGATTAAGCAACTATCGGTCAAAGAAATCTAAACAAATGATTCCAGGGATGTTGCAGTAATGTTCATGCCCAAAACCTAGACATTTTTCACATCAATTCGTGGATCAGTGCAGATTATGAAATGGATAGTTTCAGAGCCTCAATGCGCACACACCTGTAGCTGCATCACAATAACTGAGTAATGTATGAAGGTTTTAAACCAATAAAAGCATTCCGCTTAAGCTATTGTTCTGGCCATAGAATACTCTAATCTTTGTCAGTTATGTTACTTGGCAACCAAAGATTACTCTTAACAGACTACATTGGGTGGAGATGTTTTATTGCAAATAATTTTCGCGCTGTGCCTAAGAATACCCTTACCCATGATAATCACGGCAATACTAACCCTCTCATGTCTTATTGCCTTATTATACAATAGTAAAAAGTTTGAAACTGCTGGATTTGACAAAGTACAATAGATTTATTGTGGAAGAACAAAAAACAGGGAAAAGACTTAGCTTGATGTGAATGTAGTAAGTCTCTGTTTTCATCTAAAAACTTAGGTTCTTTCAAAAGTGGCCTGTGGATTTTGAAAAAATTAAACTTAAAACCTACAAACCACACACTGGGTTCTATCCCAGTCAGTGTGAGCACTGTAGCTCAGCAGTTTATGCCCTTATTCAGGGTGCTGTTTCTACTTTGTGCTGAGTAGTGTTTATGTATAGTTTCTTTTCCATGTGGCATTTCCAGCCAGTTTTCGATGAATAGTTTTATTAAGGTTTTCAAAGCCATATGTGTCCATTCACCATCTGGAGTGCTTCCATTCTGTTAAAGAGGCTTCATTCAAGAGTTTATGGAGAAACTTGAATCTGCCTAATAGCCAAATGAATTCTTTGTAACATAAGTATGTAAGGTTTTTTTTTTTTTTTTAAAAATGCTATTCCTTCTCCACAGATATGAGAGAGCCAGTGTTTGAGTACGACCGACCACCGGTGTATCATCCACCCCAGAAAAAATACCCTCACGGTCAGCCGCTTCGATACCTGGATCGCTACAGAGGCGGAAAAGAACACACATATGGCATTTACTAAAAACACAAGCTGTACATTTGTTATTGTAGAAATTTCTAATAAAAATTTATTTACATCCAAGAAAATTGTTTAATTCCACAATGCAGGTAGCAGTTTGCCAGGCATGAAACTTTACAAGTAGACCTTAAATAATAAATAAATAAATACAGATACAGTGAAATAATAGTCAACAATGTTAACTTTTTTTTTTTTTTTTGTTAAATAACAGCAGTGTTTATTCCATTTATTATTAGGCTTAGATTATGACCAGTCATCTGCTATACGGCCCTGTGAATGATTTGTTACTATAGAAACGTTAATGCATTATAACAAGTGCATTAATATTAACCTGTCATTTGAGCTGGAACTACAGTCTGAGCTGGTGCTACAGAAAATTAATCCACATCTTCAGAATGGAGAATTAAACCATGCTCTGGTATAAAATTTATTAGTATGTGGCTGGATCACATGACCACTTCACATACATGACTCAATTAGAAAGTAAACGTTGTTCTAATAAATTCCTTTAAACCTAGATTGATCACATTTTAGCCACAGTGTCATTATTCACAATACAAAAAACAGAGACTGGCGGCAAATCAGGAACCAGCATAAAATAGAGCCCTTGTGGGTACTTCTGCCTCAATCCTTTAAAAATAAAATATTTCCAATGTTCCAGAAATAAAACGCTCAGTGAAACAATTTTGAAATCTTCAAGTCAGGGAATACCCTAACTCTCCAGTCGGACCACAAGCCTTAGGTTAAATACCAGAGCAGGTTGTGTTACATTGCAAGTGTAACTCATAAGCTATTCACGAACTAAAAAAGATTTAGGGTAAAGGAAATAAAGTAGAAAACTTGTCCCAATTGTCTCAATGCTTAGCAATGTTCTATGATTCAAATGCCTTGGCAGAATCATTAGCACTCAAGCTATGAGGCCAATACAGGATGAAATCAGATATACTGGGACACTTTTCCATTCATCCATTTTCTGTACCACTTATCCTTCACAGGATTGTGGGGGAGCCTGGAGCCAAGGCAGGGAACACCCTGTAGGGGGTGCCAACCCATCGCAGGGCACAATCGTGCGCGCACACACACACACACACCCACACAAACACCCATCCACCCCCTTTCACACACTACGGACAATTTGGAAATGCCAATCCTCGAAGAACATGCGAGCTCCATGCACACATGGTGGAGACAGGACTCAAACCCTCCACCCAGGTGGTTAAAAAGATAAGAATTCCTGGAAATTCCAGATCTCAGTGAAGAGCTTACAAAGTGGAAATCCCAGACAGCCAGATGCCTCTTGGTTTATTGTGAGCGTGCAGTCTGCAGTGGAAATTCCAGATCGCTTACTCTCTCACTGTTTATAGCAAAAGTGAAATTGGTAAATGGAAGTGGACAGTGGAAAGCACGAAGGTTACTCGCTGAGTTTAGCCTTTGAACTATAGATATGACATAATATCAGCTTCACAGTTTTGTTATTGTTAATTTAGGCTCCCATCCTGCAGAATTATTATTATTATTATTATTATTATTAGCCAACATTTCTATTTGACAGTTAACTGAATAAGAGAACATCTGTTAATAACTATGGTGAATAACTACCCACACTGCAACCATAAACCCACCCAAAAACCAGCCGTTCCTATAAATATATACAGATTGACATCAATCAGAAATTTGATTCACATAAATAAGACATACCTTTGTTATTAGACATTTATTATTAGATATTATTCTTTTAACATACATAAAAATAATAACATTAATTACTTAATGTATTAACTGCAAGGCTTCAATATGCCTACTAAAATGCAGAACACATCTGAGGTTTTACAGTTGTCCATCTGTGACAAAAATCTGTAAATAGGGCATTATGACAAGACAAATAAATTAATACCTGAATAGCCATAAACCATGGCCTAGTGGAAAACATTTCACTAAAGTTCCTAATAATGAAGCATCATTTCAGAATTTACAGTCCCCGCCAAAAGTATTGGAACAGCAAGGGCAATTCTTTTATTTTTGCTATACACTGAAGACATTTGGGTTTGAGATCAAACGAGGAATACAAGACGATAGCTCAGAATTTCAACATTCATTTCCTGATATTCACATCCAGATGTGTTAAACAACTTAGGGTGGCAGACCACCCACTTTTCAAGTGATCAAAAATATTGGAACATGTGATAGACAGGTGTTTCTTGTTGCCCAGGTGTGCCCTGTTAGACTGACCTTGCAGTTCCAATACTTTCAGGGGGACTCTCTATATATTATGTATTCATAATGCCTTTTTTCAATGACTTTTTTTTTCTCAACTCAAATTATTTTATAATGTGGGTCCCTGGAGGACTAGTGGTTAGGCCTTGGCGCCCTCACCGCCGAGTCCCGGGTTCGATTCCTGGCCAGGGAACCCACCCCAGCCACTGGGGTTGCACACGACAGTGCACTCCCAGTGCCGGTCCCAAGCCAGGACAAAATTTGGGAGGGTTGTGTCCAGTGTAAAAAGCCAAATCAAATATGCAGACCAGTGATCGGCTGTGGCGACCCCTAACAAGAGCAGCTGAAGAATAACAACAACATTATTTTATAATGTCTGTTTAAGAATGTTGTCCTCATCTGGCAATCAACATCTACAGCTAAAAGTTACTTTACCTTCAGTTTACCATATATAAAGTAGATAATGTATATATTTATCTTTATATATATGCAGTATATCTTTGCATTCTATTTTATTACCTTTCCTGTACTTGTTTAATTTACTTCTTAACTTTTTTTTTAAACTTTAAGGCAGTCACTGAAGTCAAATCCCTTGCAATTGAAGCCTTCTTTTCTTAAAAAATACTTTTTGATTCTGAATCATTTAATAATGCCCCATTTATAAATTTGCCACGAATAGAACTCATGTTAAAACAAAGAAAGCACTGTGCAGCTTTTTAGGTTGTAAGTTGCCCAGTCATAAGGGAAACAGTAACAGAAGTTCTTGCATGTTCCACAATGTTTCCTCAATATTCAGTGCCAACCAGGGAAATGTCAGCAAAAATATGATTAATCCCAGCTGCCCTGAAAACATACATGTACTGGAAATGACCCTTTTATTCACTCTTAGGACAAGTGACATTTTATGTGTTTTTGGATATGGGTTTTCACAGCAGGTGGCCATGTTGATGCAATCTTAAACTATTTTCCACATGATGTTATAGTTTGGCACAGGGTTGGTTTAGTGCCTCAATGGTTTTTAAACCTGGTCGTACAGGTTTCACATATAGTCACACATTAACAGCATGATTTATTTTCTTCTCATTTTCTGCATCCAGACTCTGAGCAAATAAAAAGCTCCAGAGCAGTAAATGTCCAGTCAGGAACCTTTCAAACTGCTGTTTAATCGGATGTAAAATCCTCATTAATCAAATCACCACATAGTGTGACAAGTTGGGATTTGATGATATCGTTCAAGCACGTCTCAGTCAGGATGAGGACCAGGCTACTTCCAGCATCTCTCTCACATCCAGTACTTTCTCTCTGGGCTTTCCCAGAGCTTCTCCTCTCCGCATCTCCTCGGAGTTGATTTTCTCCCACTCTGAGAATGACACTGGTCTCACTCCTGAAAATGTGAGACACATCCAGACACTTCAAATAAAGGACATGGCATAAAATTGGCATAAATACCCACAGCTTTTTTTTTTAATGAAATGGTCCTGCTGTTTTTTTTATAGCTGAAAACACCAGTTCCTTATTTTGACAAGTCTGACATTACAAAGTCATGGAGGCCAAATTATTGGCTTTGGACTTGTCTTCGTGCCCACAGAGTTTCCATTTAGTGTTTTCATTTTCATGTTTTCATTTAGTGTTGTCTCAGTATCAGCTTTGCAGATCTTAGAAAATCTTTTTGGAGTTAATTGTTTTGTGAGATATGTTACAGGAATAAGGTGTAATTGCAAATACACTGCAAAAAATATTTTAGCAAGAATATATTTTTATTATTTTAAATATTTGTTAAGCTTATTTCTAGATATTGTTACTCATTTCAAGCTTGAAATGGTCTTATTCCATTGGCAGATGATTTTGCTTATTTCAAGTGTTTATTTCTAGAAGTTTATAAAATTATCTGCCAATAGAATAAGACAGTGTTAAGCTTGATAGTATATATGTCTAGAAATAAGTTTTATGATCATAGTTTTTTATATAATTACAGTACTGTGCAAAAGCCTTAGGCACCCTATTTTTTTTAGTGCAAACTTTGTTATAGATTTTTATTATATGACTTCTACATTATCGAGTCAGTACAAAAACATTTTAGATTCCAAACATTAGTTTTCCAGCACAAAATTAAATGTTACAGAAAAATGTTTGTACGTCAGTAAAGAAAGCAGCATATTATGTAAGAGACCACTTTTCAGACAAAAAAAACATAATGAAGGCTGTTGGGTTTTGCTGCAAAAATAAGAAGCAAGTGTGACAGTCAAAGTCTCCAGAAGAACTGTGGCTAGTTCTGCAAGATGCTCAGTAAAACTTACAGCTCATTTCCTTATAAAACTGCACACATTGTACCTGAGACTACTATTTTTTTTTTTAAGCGAAGGATCGCCACACCAAATATTTACTTTGTTTCATTTATTACTGTTTACTGCTCTTTACAGTGTTTTTTACATGTAGAAACATTTGATTTCATTATTTTTGAAGGCATCTTTGCTCTACAGTATTTCTTTGCATGAGCCTAAGACTTTTGCACAGTACTGTATGTCATAATAAGAAATATTATATCTTGAATAAAGGAAAGTTCTATTTACTTACTAAGATTTCATGTTTTGCAGTGTAGTGCATGGTTCATTTGAACCAAATTCTTGCAACGATGAAAATTCTTGTATAGATTTTCAAGAAGAGAATTATCCTAATAATTTGATTTGCTTCCATTAAAAATAAAACTGGTTGATAATATCATTTAGTGCTATTGATCACATGTATATAATATGTAAAATAATTAGACATATTTCAAAACATATACAGAGTACATTCTTATTCATAGAAAAAAATACAAACAAAAAAAAAAACAGGTGTTTACAATTCAGTCTTGCTCTTGACTCAGGATTGGCTAGGAGAAACACTCCTATCAAGAACACTGGAGGTGATACTAGCATCAACAGGTTTAGAACATTTTCATTTAATAGTTCGGTTAGAGGAAGACTGGAAGCAGAATATTGCCAAGCACATTTTCAGTCAGCGACGGATACGTGCTTGGTCCAAGGACACAAAGACTGACTGTTTTCATATTCAGGATCGTGTTATCATCTTCCTCCAATGTAAAGCGCACTCACCACCAGCAATCTCTCCTACAGTGCCTCCTGCGTTTGACGTTCAAACCACCACTGCTTACGTTCTTAGACCAGAAATTCAAGTTCAGCTGTTTTGTGTGGGACTTTTTCCATAATACCCAGGAGGGGTTGTGCAATGTGCACCTGAATAGTTACAGAGAATTTTTTTCTGTCTTTGTAAACAATGACGACATAACACCCACGATCTTGGCCTAATTACCTAACTATCAGGCAATTAAAATTAACCGTATTTGGTATTATCTATATTAACAGATCTTTCAGTTTATATAATGACAATTAAACTTTAAAAAAAAAAAAAAAAAAGATAATTATCTTTAGAAATAAACACGATCTGTCTACACCAGACATAAATACTGGCATCAACACTACATATAACTTTAATGTTTCAGTTTTTATTTATTTATTTTTTTGCTTCTTACCCACAGTAAAGTTTTCTTCTTCCTGATATTTAGTTACTACTACTTTAGCTACTTTGTATCCATATAAATATCTACTGCAACTCAGGTTTACCCAGAAACAATTCACAGTTAGGCCAAATCCCAAATGGCCTCCTCTTCACCATATCAGCTCACTACATTTACACAAAGGAATAATGATTGCAAATGCATTGCACAATCTATATAATGTGTAGATATGTGTATAATATAGTGAGATTCAGCCACTAAAAAAAAAAAACCCGAACAACATAATTTCAGACTTTACAAATTATATGATTATAAATATAATTTGTACTTTTGTACGTGTTTGTTACCTCGAGACTTCAGTAAGCCTGTAATCTCCTGAGCACCAGCTTTGTTGACTGACACATCGAGTGTTCCTGAGTCCACATCTTTCAGGAGAACTCGTGCTGTTTCAAAACTGTCATTCATAGTTGTTGCAATCACACCAGTCGGCCCACGCTTTACCCAGCCACTGCAGTACAACCCTGTACGTGTATAGACATACACACACACACACACGTTTGGTCTTGAAACGATTTCCCTAGCAGTTACCCTTACAGTTCTTTGAAACAATGATTCATTGCTCCTGAAAAGTGATTAAAACAAAAGCAATAGTCTCATATATACCTGCCTGCTCATAGTATGTGATAGATTAAACCAATAAAATGGTGAAGAGAAATGACTTATTGTTTATTTTACTAAGATAATCTAAAACAGTCTGGACAGATTTCTTGGTACCCCTAAAAACAATTAGAAATCATTGCATTCTAATCATGTTTCAAACTAATTATTTAACCTTAATTAGTGTCACAGTTGTCTTCAATCTTTGTAACAGCCGATCAGCCTATTTAAAGAGAGAAAAACGTGCCACTGTGTAGGTTGGTATCATTGTGTGCACCACACTGAACATGGACCAGAGAAAGCAAAGGAGAGAGTTGTCTGAGGAGCTCAGAAAGAAAATTGTAGATAGCCATCTTAAAGGTAAAGGCTATAAGACCATCTCCAAGCAGTTTGATGTTCCTGTGACTACAGTTGCAAATATTAAAAAGTATAAGGTACATGGGGGTGTAGTCAACCTCCCAGGACGTAGCTGCAAGAAGAAAAGCAACCCCAGGTTGATCAGAAGGATTGTGCGGATGGTAGACAAAGAGCCAAGGAAAACATCCAAAGCCATTCAAGCTGAACTCCAAGGTCAAGACCCAGGAGAACACATTATTGAAAGAAAAATCCAGACTGGAACTTGCTGGAAAATGCAAAAAAAAAAAAAATCCCACAAAGTTTCTGTGAGAATGTTCTTTGGACTGACGAAACAAACTTTTTGGCAAGTCACACCAGCTGAAAAATGAAGCTTTCAAAGAAAAGAACACCATACCTACTGTGAAGCATGGAGGGGGCTCAGTCATGTTTTGGGGCTGCTTTGCTGCGTCTGGCACAGGGGCCCTTGAATCTGTGCAGGGCACAATGAAGGCTCAAGACTATCAAGGCATCCTGGAGAGAAACATACTGCCCAGTGTCAGAAAGCTCTCCCTCAGTCACAGGTCATGGGTCCTCCCACAGGATAATGAACACACAGCTAAAAGCACTCAAGAATGGCTGGGAAAAAAAAACATTGGACTATTCTTAAATGACCCTCTATGAGC